TTGCCCCATCAGTCTCTCTCCCAGGGGCTGGTCACTTACTTTCTTGTAGCAGAGTGTTTGGTAGTGACCCCTTCTCATCTCCTGATAAGCTGCTCCCTTAGAGGCAGGGTTGATGCCTTATCCTTGAAACCTCCTCCATTCCTATAGCTAGGAGAAGGCAGCAAGTGAAAGTCTGTCAGTCATGTCTGACTCTTTGTGACCCCATGGACTATACATTCCATGCAATTCTCCAGGCCAGAATACCAGAGAGGGCAGCCTTTCCATTCTTCAGGAGATCTTCCCAACCCAGGGATCGAACCCAGGTGGATTCTTTACCAAGCTGAGCCACAAGGGAAACCCAAGAATACTGGAGTGGGTAGCCTATCCCTTCTCTAGCAGATCTTCCTTACCCAGGAATCAAACCAGGGTTTCCGGCATTGCAGGCAGATTGTTTACCAACTGAGCTATCAGGGAAGCCCAGGAGAAGGTAGTAGTTGCTCTTTCAGTATCTGCTGTGTAAGTGACCATCTTTACTAACTGCCAGTATTCACCCCAGCCCTGGGCTCCCCTAGGGTCCTGTCCAGGCAGAAGATGGACCCAAACAGGGAGCTAGGATCAGGAGACAGATCTGTGTTTGGTTCCAACACAGACCCTAGCACTCATGAGCCTGTGTGAGTCATGTCCTTTGTCTTCATTTCCTCGTCTCTAAAATGGAGAAATAGCTGTTCTCCTTTTTAAGGTTTTGCAGATGAAGCAGTGGAAACACTTGGAAAAGTGTTCTCTGAGTGTGAGGTGACCCCTGCCATGCTTTGGAGGGGAGTTCTGTGCATCAGAAGGCAAGATGCTGCCGGAGTGTGGACCACGGCAGATTCTGGGCCAGTCAGCAGGGTGGATCCGGAGGTATCGTTAATGACCGCAGTCACAGAGGAAAATGTCACCAAGGCTGTGCTGATCTGCTCACAGGAGATGGCAATCAGGGCACAGGCTCTGGAGCCAGCAGATAACATAGAACGTGACCAGCCTTAAGGCAATAGGACGTGACGGGCTCTTCGGCCAATCGGAGATCCCCCTGGTGCTCTGCCCAAGGCAATTGCTTGGACAGCTTTAAAACATAGGCCCCGTCAAACACAGCATCTATGGGTTTTTTGTTTTGTTTTGTTTTTTAGCATCTATGTTTTGAGACCCTGCAGCCTGTTGATTTAAATGTATGTTTTACTCTGATGCTTTGACCTCTTTGAGAGTTCCTTGGACAGCAAAGAGATCCAACCAGTACATCCTAAAGGAAATCAGTCCCGAATATTCATTGGGAGGACTGATACTAAAGCTGAAACTCCAATACTTTGACTACCTAATGCGAAGAACTGACTCATTTGAAAAGACCCTGATGCTGCAGAAGATTGAAGGCAGGAGGAGAAGGGGATGACAGAGGATGAGATGGCTGGAATGCATCACCAACTTGATGGACATGAGTTTGAGTAAACTCTGGGAGTTGGTGATGGACAGGGAGGCCTGGTGTGCTGCGATTCATGGGGTCGCAAAGAGTTGGACACGACTGAGTGACTGAACTTTGACCTCTGGGTCCTGGCTGGCCCTGGAGGCACTGCTCCTCACAGCACCAGCTAATTCCTAGAGATAGAAAACAACTTAGCAACCCAGAGCTGGCACCCCTAGACCCTTATTTATGGAGTGCTTGCACTCTGGGCCACCTGCCCTAATCATTCAACCCAGATACCAGTCCGTTAGGGACACCGCCTAAGCCCCAGAGCCCATGGAAATGATCCAAGCTGGCCAGTCTACTCTTTGTCCCGCCCTTTCCAAGGAAACCACAATAAAGTCTTTTGCCAACATATCCCCCTCACTCTCTCCACCTCCTGACCGACCCTGGTGATTTCTCATCAGCCCTGCATGGCGGGACCTGCTCCCTCCTCTTACTTAGAAACTGTAACCGACTCTCCTTCAGTGATAAGCATCTCCTGATATCCTGGGCTAACCATACCTGAATAATAATACCACCTACATTTTAACACACCTGTGAATCCTACTGAAGCTTGAATCATCATGGCAGCTACACGGTCCCCATTGAATCTGGGCATCCAACACAATGGACAAGAGTTGAACATGAGTCTGAGCAAGCTCCAAGAGATAGTGAAAGACAGGGAAGCCTGGTGTGCTGCAGTCCATGGGGTCGCAAAGAGTCAGACACGACTTAGCAGCTCAACAACAGCAACCAGACGCAGTCCCTAGCCCATAGAAGACACTATTATTTATTCTTTTAAAATAATTTTATTTACTTATTTATTTTTGGCTGTGCTGGGTCTTCGTTGCTGCGCTGGCTTTTCTCTAGTTGCGACAAGTGGGGGCTACTCTCTAGTGGTGATGCACAGATTTCTCATTGCAGTGGCTTCTCGTTGTGGAGCACGGGCTCTAGGGTGCATAGGCGTCAGTAGTTATGGCTCATGGGCTTAGTTGCTCCACAGCATGTAGGATCTTCCTAGATTAGAGATTGAACCTGTGTCTCCTGCCTCAGTAGGCGGATTTTTTTTTTTTTTTTTTTTTACCATTGAGCCACCAGGGAGGCCCCAGATGCAATTAAGTTACTAATCAATAAATGGATAGGGGGAAAGTGAAAAGCTGAGTGTGGAAGCATCATCTGGGGACACAGGTGCCCTACACTTCCATCTCACTGTTGCAACGGCTTTAGGAAGCTGCATTCTGTACCTGCCTGGTTCTGCACTTGGAAGGGATGTAGGCAGCCAGGCCGGAGCAAGCCGGGGGAGGTGGTGTGAGTACATGCTGGTGGGAGCAAGCTGTGGTTAAACGTAAGCAGCTCCCCCTCCCACTGGGGAGTTTTTCAGGCAGCTCTTAAGCAAGAGGCTCTTCTCTTGGCAGACAGGCTTCCGGCTAACTAGCTGTTTCCTTTATGTGTTTCTGAAGAGATCACCACCTCAAAGGGTCTCTGAACCCAGGGGTAAAAATGTGAAAGCCGGAAAGAGGGTTCCCAGCCATCTGCAGTCTCTGGGACCCGCCCGGAACAGGCTCTCAAATAGAAGGACCAGGGTTTCCCAGGTGGCTCGGTGGGTAAAGAATTCACCTGCAATGCAGGAGACAAGGGTTTGATCCCTGGGTCGGGAAGATCCCCTGGAAGAGGAAATGGCAACCCACTCCAGTATTCTTGCCAGGAAAACTCCATGGATAGAGAAGCCTGGTGGGCTGCAGTCCATGGGGTCACAAAGAGTCGGACACAACTAGGCAATAGCACACAAGCCACTCGCTCAGCTCCATGGGGCCTTGAAATTATCCTGAGTCTGTGACATTGGGGGGTGGAGTGGTCTGCATCTCTGCACTTTTCTGGTTAGAAAACTGTAAGTTCAGCTAGAGAACCTATTTCTTTTTTTTTTAATTCCTTACTCCTAAAAGCACATCAATCTGTTCTGCTTGAAGATGGACTGAATTTCCCAGATGACAGGGCCCTCGGGTGTCATTCTCAGGACGACCATCTCATTCCAGGCAGAGAGAGAACCTGTCTGGGATGACCAGGGGAGGCAGATCACCTGTTGGGAGCGGGGGAGATCAAGTGTTGACTGTTTCCGATGAGGTTCAGCTGTGTGCTTCGGTTGGAAGCAGCCAACGGCACCCTAAGACCCAGAAAGGACAGACGGGGGCATTAAACCACAGTGAAGGGACAGTGAGAATCTGGGGGACTGCCCGAATGGTCATGCCAGGAGAGGGGGTCAGCAAGGTGACTATGTGAGTGGGTTTCACCCAGGACAGACTGGCTGATGTCCTGTTACCCCAGCACAACGATTCAACTCACCGCCTTTCTCTCTCAAGTGTCCTGGTTTGATTGATAAATCAGAGTTATAGTCAACAGCAGGGAGTTTGCAAATGGAATGTCTGAGTTGGAAGGCTCTCAAGGAAGAGTCTAGTTGCTTTGTTTGTATAAACAGAAGTTTAAGGTTTGGCAAATATGCTGGAGAAGGTCTGGCAGCAGCAGATGGCAGGAACAGTGAGCAGAAGGGAACCATGCCTGACCTTGGGCTTTGCTGGGGGCAGGGGTGGGGGGAACTTGGGCTGGCTAGGACCGCCTGGGACCGTTGGACTTCGCTCACAGACTCTAGCCCAAGAGGGAGCTTCCAAAGACAGCATTTCCATTCCATCCTCTGGTTGAACTCTCAAGCCCAGAGTTAAGAAGTCTAGTGAGGGGTAGGCACTAAGAAGAAAGGGTTTCACCCAATGGGCTGTGAGAGGAGTGAACATCCCCCACCCTCCATCGTCAGCAGGGGCCGGGTGCCACCTTCCCATTCAGCACCACCTTGCATCGCCATGGGGACCCTGAACAGTCTCCGGTTTTCTTCCTTCCTGGTTGAGATCTTGTTTCTGTCAAAATGAACTGTTTATCTGTGTTGCATGAAATGTCACAGATTGTGGGCAAAACCAGGACAAACCCAAACCTCAGAAATAAGAGCCCTCCGATGATACTCACATGCAACTCCCCGAATCTTTAGAGGCTGCGATGAATTTTCTTTTCCCAGCACTGAACTTATTCTCTAGAAGTATTTAACCCAAGAGGCATCTGACAGACAAGCCCCCAGTGGCCTGAGCATGCCAGATCAACTCATTCTTGAGCTGATTCACCAAGTGAAGCCGTGGACCCGAGTGACCCACCCACGGAGGGAGGGTGAAGACGTCAAAGGGAAGATGTGGTTGTTAAGTTTCACCTGGAGGCCTCACATGAAGTTTAATCAAGCCGTAAAATACTCAAGATGTCCAGTGTGTAAGGACTATTTCACTTTTGTGTGTGAGACAGAACTAAAACTTCAAAGCTATTTGTCTTTTTATCTAAGATAAGCCATCATGCAAAACTTACTGGTCAAGCAGATAATAAAATACACAGATCCCATGGAAGGGTTTTTGTACATTTCAGTCCTTGCAGATAACAAAGCCATTATGCACCCTGCATGGTCCTGAGAGTGAGTTCCTTCGATTCTGAAAGCTGCCAGTCCTGCTAGCGCCTGGAGGGCTCATGTGTTATAAATTCTCGAAGCTCTTTTAGCTGCAGTCTGGGCATCTGGTGATTCTTCATCCTCTTCCTCGGTCCGCTTGTGTTTTAAGAACAAGTCAGACTTTAAGAAGCGGCTGTAACTGTCATACTTCATGAGGTTGAAGATCTAAGGAGAAAAGGAAAATTATAAATCATTGAATATTTATTAAATACCTATCATGTGCTGGGGCTTTGCAGGTGGTACAGTGGCAAAGAACCCTCCTGCCAATGCAGGAGACACGGGTTTGATCCCTGGGTCGGGAAGATCCCGTGGAGGAGGAAATGGCAATCCATTCCAGTATTCTTGCCTGGAAAATTCTATGGACAGAGGAGTCTGTAGGGGCTACAGTCCATGGGGCAACAAAGAGTTGGACACGAATGAGCGACTGAGCAGGAGCACGATCATGTGCCAAGGAATGCACATGCATGCCAAACACCCAAGGAAAGCTGAAGTTTTGCGGTAGACCAGGCAGATTTCCTGGATGTTTGGGGTCATTATGAAATTATTTCAATGGATTATAAGAGCTTAAAGAGTCACACGAGCAAATCTATATTTTTCATGGAAGTCTAGATTCACACAACATTGATGCATACCCTTGGATCAAGAGGTACTTTAAGAATCACCACTTAAAAAAAAAAAAAAAGAATCACCACTGTATTCAGGTTAGATAATACAGGGATGTGGGTCTCCGGGAACTTGAGGTAGCAGAGGAGAAGCCATATCTGTAGAGACGATGAAGTAAAGGCCACTATCATATCAGACGGTGCTAATATTTAGGCCCCCAGAAGTCTGGCAACCAAGGTCTTACACAAACCTATTATTACGCCAAGAAACAAAAGGGGGCTTATTCAGTGCAGGGCAGAGAAGTGGAATGACAAGCTCTGGGAGGAGGGGCTTTGGGAACAGGCTCTAATTAAAGAAAATAGCAGTCAGCTGCAGGATGCAGACACCTGCCCGCTCACACAGGCCCAGGAGAGCATCTCTGGGAAAGAAGTTATTCTAATACACACTTGCCAGGTGCGAGGGGAGGACCCCTGATGGATTAGAGGACTGCCGCCTGCTGCACCCCAAGTTCGCAAAGAGTTTCCCCCCTTCTCAGCCAGAGTCCCTGTTCCCAACATCCTCCTCCCCCAGTGCCTCCTCATGCTTTGCTACAGTCCTCCCCTGCCCTGCCAAGGGGTGGGAACAGGGGAAACAAAGGGAAGAACCTTCGGGCTATCGAGGGACAGTCTCTTATTTTGAGAAGTTTCTCTCCATCTCAGACCTTCCCACTGGACTTTCAGGACATTATGCAGACTGAGAATTCACACCACGCAACCTGGCACCTTCACTGACTGCACCGCCATGGACTCGACAAACAGAAAGTTCCAGGGCCGTCTAGAAAGACGCTCGCTGCCAGGCGGGGTCACCAAGTGGGTGGCAAAACATCTTTTAAACCCACCCTCTCTGGGATGTTTCAAGAGAACAGCATCGAAACATGTATATTATCTAGGGTGAAACAGATCACCAGCCCAGGTTGGATGCATGAGACAAGTGCTCGGGCCTGGTGCACTGGGAAGACCCAGAGGGATCAGTGGAGAGGGAGGTGGGAGGGGGGACCGGGATGGGGAATACATGTAAATCCATGGCTGATTCATTTCAATGTATGACAAAAACCACTGCAATGTTGTAAAGTAATTAGCCTCCAACTAATAAAAATAAATGAAAATTAAAAAAAAAATAAATGGGGGAAAAAAAAAAAAGCAATAAATAAATAAATAAATAAATAAACCCACCCTCTCGCCACAGGCACATATACTACATTACAAATGAAACGCCTGATGGTGTCCACGGACTCAGAACATCTGGCCGGGGGCTGGGAGCTGGAACTTGGCCTTGACACCTTCGTTTTCCCAAGACGGCTCCAAACACGGGCGCACCGCCTACATCGTTTTGCTCTGAGCCGAGTTTGGACTTCGGGTTTTCCTAAAACTCTTGAGCTGCTGCTCGCCCTTCTGTGAGTGCGCTTCCAGTTTGGTCAACCTGCTCGGAGAGAGCACGCTCCAAAGGCCCCCGCCTTGCGCCTCTCCAGAGTGGGCATCTATTTTGTAGCAATCTTGTCATCTTAGACTGCTTCGATAAGGTTTGGAGAAAGTATTCATTAAAGCCAAAAACCTCCCAGAAAATACAAAAGTCATAGGCAGGGGTGAGACAGGAGATGCAAAATGCCAGTATCATGTCGTGCAGGTGTGTTACCATCCCTCATCACGACCTGCATTATTCATCCCTTCCAAGCACAAGAACCTCCAAAGGGGACTTTGAGATGGTCATCCAGTTCACCATTTGAAATGATGCTCGAAGTGTGACTGATGAAACCAGGCTCTTGAGTGCCCCCGACCCGGGGAACCAAGCCCCCACCCCCTCCTCCCAACCAGGCCGGCAGCAGATGGGACCCAGCACCACCAGCAGGATGCGGTTCGACCCAAGTGTCTCGTCTGAGTCTCCGCGTGTGGGAGTGGTGCATCCTGTTTGCCTGCTGCGGCTCTTCGAGAAAAGAAGAAGAAAGGCCGGGGCTGGAGGCGCCCGGCCCGAGGTGGTGGGGGAGTGGGGAGGGGAGGTGGTTCCAGCAGGAGGGCTCAGCCTCCCGGAGGTGCTCAGCTCCCACTTCGGCACACCTGGAGCCAGCGAGCTCCGGAGGACAGGGCTATAAACCATTTAGCAAGAGCTCAGGGACCACTCCCTGCCGTAGGTGGGTGTGAGATACCCATGGAGGCCCTCGAGCTGGGTTTCCCTCTTCAGGAGTCCTCGCCTGTCTCCTGCTGCCACCGAGTCACCGGGTAGCAGCTGGAGGCATCAGACCAGGACAGATAAGAAGGAAAGGGATGTGGTTACCAAGAGCCTCATTTTCTGGGGCTAGGAGCTGCCTGGCACCTCTGACGGGGTCTTCACTGCCACCAGCAAAAGGTCTCCTGGGCACTGACCTTGGAGCTCATGGCAATAGGCGGCTCCAACCCAGGGCCCCTTGTGGGTACTCAGCTGTGATGACTTTGAGAATGTCCTAAAAATCTCTTGCAAGAAAGTGGCCAAAGACCAGTTACACCACTGCTAAACACAGCAGCCTTCATCACAGGGCAAATGGTCATGTCAGAGGTTCACCCAGTGAATAAACAGGGCCCATCCACTGAGCAATGACTGAAGGGCTGGTGAAACAGTTCAAGGTGTACCAACCCCAGTAAGAGTGCCTTCAAATCACATGCCAGGCAACACATGGAGCATCCTCTCTAATCTTCACTGAACCCCTGAGGACCCCGAATACACAAGGGAAAGAACTGGGCCAAGGAGGTTTGTTGCTTTGCCCCAGTGGCTGGTATATTGTCAGCTCAGCTGCCATGACAAGTACTAATGACTGGGTGACTTGAAAAGCAGGAATTTCCTTTCTCGGGACTCTGAAGGCTGGAAGTCCAAGATCAAGGTGACGGCAGGGCTGGTTTCTCCTGAGGACTCTGTCCTTGGCTTGTAGGTGGCCGTCTTCCCCAGGGTCTTCATCTGGTCTCTCCTCTGTGTGTGTCTATGTCCTAATTGCCTCTCCTTATAAGGACACTGGTCAGATTGAATTATGACCCACCCCAAGGACCTCATTTAATCACCTCTTTGAAGACCCCCATCTCCAACTAGTCACACTCTGAGGTCCTGGGGCTTGGGAGTCTACATCTGAATTTGAGAGGAGACACAATTCAGCCTGTGACAGTGAGCAAAAGAGGCCAGCAGGGTGCAAACAGTGGCCGTCCAGCTCTCGAGCCCACACGCCTACCTCCAGGCCATCCCACCACTTCTACGGCAGAGTGAGAGGTGGTCACTAAAAACGGAGCTTGTGAAAAGAGCTTAATGTGGAAAAATGAACATGATTGTCAAGTGACTAAACACCGAATGTTTAAAGTTCACTAAAACTGAAAACAATGACCCCAAATACATTCTCTAATGTGTTAGCTTGTGTATTTAAGTGGGAAATAAACATCCCCAAAGGTCAGTATAGGAGGTTGAACAGTGTGTTCCCCAAACTGACATCCACCCGGAACCTCAGAATGTGACTTTATTTAGGAATAGGGTTAGCTGAGGCTCTCAGGATGACGTCATCCTGGCTTAGGGTGGGCCCTAAATCCAAGGGGGCTTTCTCTGTGGCTCAGACAGTAAAGCATTTGCCACCAGTGCAAGAGACCCAGGTTCAGTCCCTGGATCAGGAAGATCCCCGGGAGGAGGGCAGGGCAACCCACTCCAGTATCCTTGGCCTGGAGAATCCCATGGACAGAGGAACCTGGCGGGCTATAGCCCATGGGGTTGCAAAGAGTCAGATACAATTGAGCAACTTTTCATTTCACTAAATCCAAGCAGTGATGTCCTTAAAAGAAAAAGAGAGAGAGCACACAGAAAGACATACAACCAGAAGAAGCCCAGGTAAAGACAGAGGCTGGAGGGATGCAGCTCTAAGCCAGGGACACTGAGGATTGCCAGGAGCCACCAGGAGCTGGAAGAGAGAAGGATAGGATCTCCCCTCCAACTTTCAGAGGGAAGACAGCCCTGCCTGATACTCAGGTTTCAGACTTCTGGCCTCCTGAGCTATGAGAGGAAAAAAAAAACATCTATTTTCTTAAGCCACTTAGTTTGCAATCATCTGTTACGGCAGCTCTTGGAAATGAACACAGGCAAATTATTGACTTCACCTCACTCCTGCTTGAGCACAGAAAATGAGATGGCCCTTAGGGGTTCCAGAAGGCTCCACAAGACCAGGACTCTCTGATGGGAGAACTGGACTCACCAGGGCTGGACTGTGGTTATCAGCCTGACCACGCACCTCAAGTTGTCTGCAGGGAAGCAAAAGAAGAAGGTGGAGACCCAGGTGGGCTGGGACTGTGGGCAGCGGACCATAGACCAAGGGAGCAGAGCTCTAACGCACACAGACAGCCCTTTGGGGAGACAGGCAGCCGATGGAGCAGAAAACCCAAGTTGGCAGCAAAGTTGCATTTCTACCTTTTTTTTTTTGCCAACACAGCTGTGTCCGTGCAGGTTTCAGATTTCAGCAGTCCCACATCTGGGAGCTACATGCCAGGACTGTAAATCACTTAGTGTCTTGGCCTTGGGATCCAACCCTT